AGCAAGCTGGCGGCGGCGGCGGCGACGGGATTTTGGAAGTGCTGCTCCAAACGTACTGGGACCACCGTTGCCTCCCTGCGCCCGTGGAGCACCTGCTCGCGCTTGGGACGTGGGACGACGATGCGAGTCGGGTACGCCTCGTGCACGCCGAATGGCTGCCTCCGTCGACTGTGCGAACGCTCGACTACCAGATCAACATCCCAGTGGCCCATCTGGACCGCTTTCGACGCAGCATCCACACGAACGAGCTGACCCGGTGCGCCACCATGCACCCCGACCGCTCATGCCGCCAGTTTGCCATCACAGGCACACTTAATCTGCTCTGTCGAAGCACACAAGTGTTTGTACCATTGCAATGTCTATCGCTTGCCGCGAGTGTTTTCGTAGCCAGGAAACAAACGAGTGTCCAGTGGCCTGCACTGGCCAACAACGTGGGGTGGTCGGTGGTGTTCCTCACTTGGGCCAACATGGCGCCGCTCCTGCTCTCGTGCTCGCTACCTCAGACACGCCACAAACTAACGACGTTGGTGGCGTCCATGTTGCCCTACCTAATGCTGCAAGTGGAACCTCGAAAACGACGCGCCAGTGTGCTCAAAGCCATAGCCTGTTGGACGCTCGTTTCGCTGCAATTACAGGCCACCTCTAGCCGAGTTTGGCGACGATATGTGACAAAATTGTCGCTAGCCAAGCGTATGCCGTGGACGTGGGTCGCCACGGCGGTGTATGGCGCATGCATGACACACATTCTCAACCGACCGCACCTCCAAAGCCACCTCGCAATGCAGTACTTGTTCGGCAAATCCATGCACAAGCCACTAGTAGCAATAGTACAGTAGTAGTAGTAGTAGTAGTAGTACTCCAATTTCGAATCGACAAGTCGTTTGACGTCGACACTACTGTAGTATCATGAGCCGACATCATCAATTCATGCACACGTTCCTACTCGACGCCATCCGCCATGCTGGTCCGACCTCATGCCTAACCTTGCTCGTCGGTGCTCTTATATCCAGCGCTCAGTCGAGCCAACTCAAACTGCCGCCTGCGATCGTCGTTGCCGGGGGGGTCGGCTGCGGCGTGTTTCGATTCGTCTACCGACTCGAGCATCGCCGTCTAGCCGCGATCATGGGGTCCATGGCGTTCTTTCGTCTGTGCAGTTACAACCACAAGCACATCGTGTTGTCGTACTCGGCCGTCGAAGCCATCTCCACGTACTACCTCACGCACTTCACCCATCAGTACTGGCTCGAGCACGCCACGGGCATCCTCGTCACGTCGCGACTCATGTACACGTTTCTGTTCCATTCCGACTGGCTTTTTCCGTCGCAGCTCCGAATGCTGGACTTCCAGTCCGGCTTGTCCCCCGCCCGCCGCGCATCCCACCATACATTTATCAAGCACGGTAAGTCGCGGATATTTTTCATGGGAGGAGCATCCTTATTATAACGGAAACTAGTTTGATATTCAATGAATACAATACAAAAT